CTCTCTCTCTCTGGTTCAGTGTATCTGTGGGGAACTCTTTAACACAATGGAGCATTCCTTAACAGTTTTATCGGTAATGGATTATCTTGAATGTGAGTCATTATGTAGTCGCACACAGGCTAATAAAATTGCAAATCAGTTCTACTGCTAATGCCTCTTGATTCTTTTGTCTCTGTTGGTGAGCCACGAATTGTGATATTGGACAAACTTTTTGCCTGGAATGCCCTTTGCATTGGTGGGGCATGGGGAGTGCAGTTGGGTGCCCATTTTGCCATAGCCTGGCAGGATGGTTGGGTGCTGTTCAGCAGTGTGGGTTCCACCTCTGGTCAAAGATGACACTCATTCCAACAATGTTGTGTCCTCTCACATGCATGCTCGTGCTCGTGCACACACACACACCATGTGCACTGTTTTGAATATGAGAGATGGAGCTGAGAGTTTCCAATGAAGAATATGCACCACCTCCCAGAAGGTGTGCAGCTAGGTTATATGGTGTACACAGCAGCCCATCGGAGAAAATGTTTTTGCCCCAAGATTCCATGGACAGTTCCCCAAAGCAATGGCCTAGTGGTATTACTGTGGGACTTTACCTGGGTCTCTGGATTAAATGTCCTGGGGACCCAAGTTTGAACCCTGCCATGACAGATGGTGGAATTTGAATTCAATAAAATATGGAATTAAGAGTTAAGGTAACCATGAAACCGTTGTCAGAAAAATCCACCTGGTTCACTAAAGTCCTTTTAGGGAAGGAAACTGCAATCCTTATCTGGTCTGGCCTACATGTGACTCCAGACCAACCATAATGGTGGTTTCCCACTAGGCAGCAAATACCAGCCTAGGCAGAGATGCCCACCTCCTGTGAATGAAATTAAAGAAACAACTTGGAGGGTTCAAAGACAGCTTTTAAAATGTGATCCAGGCGTTGGCTAAACCAACTGAATTTTTATTTCTGTGCACTTCTGGAGGAATTCAACATTGTCAGAGGTGCCTTTTGCATGAAGCATTAAATCTGAACATTAACCAGAGCTAAAAGACACCCTGTCAAACAACTTCAAAACCAGATTTTTACCTGATTTCATGGTATTTGTGGAATCTTACTGTGGGCAGATTGACTTGCTTGCTTTCAGAACAGCACTAAAGTAATCTATTAGCTGTAAGGTGCTTCTGAATATCCTGAGGATGGGAAGCTGCTGTATAATGGAAGATATTAATTTCACTGCCAATCTAGTGAGAAATGGATTTCCAACAGTTGACCCCTGCCCCAACTTAAAGCCCCCCCCCCCCCCCCCCCACTTCAATTTGATTCCACCTCCTTGGGAATAGAATAAAGGAGTTGAAGCATCTAAATGTCACATTTGGTATAGGCTTCACGTGGCAATTTTGCTGCATGCACATTCTCAAACCCTCCTTTTTTCCTCTTAGCTTGTCCCACTCTTCTCCCCACAACCCCCCCTCCCCTAGCACCACTGATGATGTAGAGTAAATCTCTGGAAATTGGTGCCTGAGCAATAACTAATTACTTCAAAAATTGGGGAAAGCACTTGACATGGTGGAGATAAGGTGTCGAGCTGGATGAACACAGCAGGCCAAGCAGTATCAGAGGAGCAGGAAAGCTGATGTTTCAGGTCGGGACCCTTCTTCAGAAACTTTTGGTGGAGAGTTTGGTTTGGCAAAATCAGTGGTTCATAAAATCATTAAAAGGTTTGGCAGCAGGCCATTCAGCCCATCAAGTCCACACCATCCCACTCAGACCCATCCCTATAGCCTTGCATTTCCCATGGCCAATCCACATAGGGAAGAAGCCAGAGGAACCCGTGCAGATACAGGGAGAATGTGTAAACTGCACATAGACAGTCGCCCAAGAGGGGAATTGAACCTGGGTCCCTGGTGCTGTGAGGTAGCTGTGCTAACTACTGAGCCACTGCCCACACTTCCTGTTGACTCATTGGAGCAAGACAGCTCGATGAGAGCTGGATAGAGGTGTAACCTGCAACAGTTTGTTAAACACCTCCCCCCAAACTTACATTCAAAGTAATGAGTGATTTGAGGTTCTGGTTATTCCTGTGATACTGACTTCATCTGTTTATTTCGATGGGCTGAACACTCTTCTTTCCTGTAGCATGAGCCATTCCCCACTTCCACCGGTAGCATTGGGACTGTGATTTAGATTCCTGTTCCTACTCTCCTGCTACAATCCCAGCATTAGCTACTGCCTGCTACTGAGGCTCCCTGACCAGAACAGGAAGATACCATTTGAGCTTTTTAGTCTCATCAATGTCTGGCTGACACTTCAACAAAGCAACTTCCTGCCTATTGTGTGGCTGTGCTCCTTTCAAAAGAGAGAGAGAAAAGCCTTCCGTCCTGCTGACTCGGTTAGTCCAGCTCTTTCTCGGGCAGGGAGAGATGCCCGAGCAGAGGGGCAAACCCACCAGCCTGGAATCCAGTTTCTCACTGCACTCTTCAGTGTGAGCCCTGTTTTGTGTAGGCAGCCCAGGACCCCCAGCTGTGGTGATGATCTTGTATACATTGTTGGTCAGCCAGAGGGATTCTGCTTGTTTTTTTTTCTTATTTGGTGTGTTGCACATACAGAATTTAGGCAAGGTTGTTCTTCCAGAGACCCAGGTAATGTTCTGCAGACTGGGCTTCGAATCCCACTGCGGCAGATGGAATTCAAAATAAAACTGAAATCTGGAATTAAGCATCTAATAATGACCATTGTTGATTGTTGGAAAAGCCCATCTGCTTCACTAATGTCCTTTTGAAGGAAGGAAACTGTCATCCTTACCTGGTCTGTCCTGCATATGACTCCAGACCCAAAGCAATGTGTTTCAACTCTTAACTGCCCCCTGGGCAATAAGTGCTGGCCTAGCTAGTGATACCCTCAACCCATCAATGTATATATTTTTTTAAAAAGTTCATAATAGCTTGGTGGAAGTTGGAGTATTCCCATTCTGTTGCTGGCCATTACCTGGCAATGATGCCTGCCAGCGTGATGGTGGCTGAGCACTCAACCATCTTTTGTGCACAGTGTCCAGTGATTAGGCATTTGAGTTTGTGCAACAGGGCAATGGGAGAGATTTTTGGGAAGCAGTCAGTTATAAAGATGGAAACATGGGGAAAATACAGACAAGAGTAGGACATATGGTATATCAAGCCTGCTGTGCCATTCAATATGATTGGAGCTGAAATGGATAATCAGCCCCATACCCTAGAAATCCATCAATTTCTTTAAGTTCAGCCAGTAACTTGGCCTTCCCATCTTGCACTTGATGTTCATGGTGGAATTATGAAGAAATTTCTCCTCATCACCGTCATAAATGGGTCCTAGTTCGAAAGTGTTTAGTTTTTAATTGGGGAGTGGGAGCCACAAGATAGGCCAGCACTTAATGGCCATCCCTAATTGCCCTGGAGAAGGTGATGATGCATTTGCCTTGCGTAGGGGCAGCTGCTTGGCCCCCAGTGACATGAAGGCTTTGTACGTGGCTTGGAGGGCACTGGTGGTGTTCCAATTGGGCTATTATTTGCTGGACCCTCCCCTCACCCAGATGTTCGAGGTCTTCAGTTTGGAAGGTGCTGTCGAAGGAGCGTTGGTGAGTTGCTACAGTGCGTGTTTTATATTGTACACACTGCTGCTGCTACTGTGCTGAAGAAAACCATCCAGAGATGATCACCTTTTTCATATCCTGCCTTTGAATTTGGAGCCTAACTCTTAGCAGAGCATCATTCTGAGTATTTGGAGCACAATAGTATCCTCTCCTCCCTGCTACAGCCATTAGTGATGTCCTTAACGCTAACATGACATGCGTAACACAGTACAGTGGCCATCCCCTGACCACACTCACCCTATCAGTATCACCTCCTTTCCACTTTCAGCACTTAAATCATAGAATCCCTACAGTGTGGAAGCAGGCCATTTGGCCCATCAAGTCCACACCAACCCTCCAAAGAGCAACCCACCCACGGTCACCCTATTCCTGTAACCCTGCAT